CAAGATGATTCTTCCTTGCTTCCTTCCCTGTTTGCTTCTGGCATTTGCCAAACAGTTCTGCAGAAATGGAAGCTTTTTGTGTATGAAGCAGCCTCTTCCTTCTGATTCATTCTGCTAACAAACCAAGGATGTCATTACCTTGGATAGTTCCCTTGCAGAACACATCCAGACAACAGGGAAAGTGGAGGCTGACTCAGGCAAAAAAGCCGAATTGCACCCAAGGAATGACTTGGCAGCCAGAAACTTGGGGGTGGGGGAAGAGGAAGCATCTGGAAACCAGAACAGAGTAGGGCAATGCTGACTCTTCAGACACGTTCTAAATGTAGTTCATAGACAACACAGAAGAACCGTGACAGACTTCATTTCAGTCAGGCACCAAACCAGTTTTGAGAGATTAGGTCTCACCATTTTTCCTATTCTAGTTTTTGTTATCTAAGGAAGCATAAAGCCTAGCTGAGCTCTTGTTTCCTTTGGATTATTAAGTGATTAAGAATATACAATGCCTCTTGAAATGCTTCTCTTTCTTTCTTATTAACTGGCATCGTGTTTCAAGTTAATGTCTGCTAAAACCCTGAGTGAAAAGATTGAACTGTGCAGCTAAGTAGAGAAGGGTTTGGGGGGAAAAACAAAAAACCCGGCTACTTTTAGAGGGGAAGACATTATCAGCGCCCCGCACACAGGGAAACTGAAAATTAAAACATTCTGACTGGTAACTAAGTGTATGAACCTCTCCCCACTTCCACCTAACCATGGCATAAAGATATTATTGCATTTTCCCCCCTCCATGACTTCATGGTACTGCTTCCACCTCAATTCTGGGCAACCTGTGAGACAGGCTTAAGCCATCATTTGCTATTTTGGTGTAAGAGTAGCATTTTCCCATGACACTGGCTTAGAGTCATAGAGCAGCCTCAATATATTTCAAATCCAGTAGTTTTCCCTTGTGACTGAAGGAAAATCAGGTAACTAGAGTGATTTGAACCAGAACCAAAAGAGAAAGAATAGGGATTGACAACAGAAGGAACACGTTTCCCCCATATATAATTTTCTGTTGACTTGAGGAAGGGTGGAAGGTGCTACAACTCATCAGTGGGGAAAAACAGTGTCTTTGTTATATGTTGCCAATTTATAAATGGTTTATGCAGTCTGGGGTGAATTAATTTAAAACATACACTGCCCATCACAATGCTGTAACTTAAGAGGGCCGGCCCTATCATGAGGTAGAGTGAGACAGTATCCTCAGGCAAACTGAGGCAGGGAATGAGCAACATGTTAGAATGTAGCTTGCTCTGTCTCTTAGACGAGACCAGTGTTTCTCAACCTTGACAACTTTAAGACACGTGGACTTCAACTCCCAGAATTCCCCAGCCAGCACTGGACCAGAAGGCTACTTTTAGGTATGATGAACATTGTACCAATGGTTAGGGTTGGAAAAAGTGCTGTTGGGTAGTGTTGAACAAATCTAGCTGGCATATGAACATCATCTTGTCACTTCAGGCAGCAAAATATTCAACACACAGAGTTGCCAGGTATTCACACAGCGTGCTATGCATGCCCTTCTTTACTGTCATTCAATCAAGCATTTATTCCAAATTCAACCATGTTCAATGAAAATTAATCCCTCATGTGTTTAGGGTTTCTGACTTAGTATTATGTCCTCTTTAAATTATGATGTGGAAAGCAGTTTGCAAATGCACTTCAGTTTTGACCTAAAAAGTGTATATCGTTACGATGAGCTGGATACACACGCATCTTTGTTTCAGCAGCACCTGGGCATAGAACAAAAATGTTGCAAAACATGGGGTTATGTAACATTACACAAGGTTATGTCATGCTCAGGTTCAAAACAGGTATGTATATTCACTAGCTAAACGCCTACATTTTGAATAAACAATGAATTGAATTCCTCTACCGTTTGGTTGAGAGGATTCTATAATGAAGGTGATGATGTTAGTGGGGAAACTAAGTCTATTCTTTAACTCCTTGGGAAGAGTGGGCTATATGCAGTTTCTTTGTTCTGTTTTTCATTCATAACCAATGGCTGTGAAAGAACGCTCAGTGTGGAGAACACTCTTGAATAGAAGCGATATACACCTTTTATTATTATTCATGCAATACACTCCAGGTTGTTTTCATACTGCTAAATAGTTGTTTAGTCAACACGAACTGCAGAAAAATCTGACTAAAGTGAGAAGGAAGCAAATTCACTACTGGCTGGGGGAATACTCTTCCTAGACTTTGAGGACTAAATAACTAGAGGAGAATAAGCAAATCAAGTTTATCTTGGTTCTTGAGCTGCAGCAAGTAGCTTGATTCACATAGGCACAAAAATCCAAATGTGGATTGCTTGGTTTTGACTTGTAGTTTGCTAAAGCATGGCCTGACATAACAAATGAACCAACCATTGCCTTGGATCTCCTAGGGGATGTACTGGATTCCAATGATGATACTCCAGATAACTGATTTTTCTTAAGATTAAGAAACATAATATAAGCAAAAAGTGGAAACAAAAGCTTCCAATCTTTGTGGCCATGATGGAAGAGAGAAGACGGGGTATGCAAGCCCAGGCTTCTTCTTGCCTGAAAGCTTGCAGCACTGTTACTACTCAGTATTGAAAATGCGGGCAAGATGGACCCATAATCTAGATTCAGTAAAGATAGCTTGTTGTGTTCCTATGTCCTGGAGCAAGCCAACACTAGTGCGCTGTCTCCAAGCTCTTGCAGGCAGCGATGTATGTAACTCTCAAGACATAGATCCGCTCTTCCCCCTTTCTTTTAATTCAACTGCATGGCAAAGGACCAAATCTTACAGAAGAAAACATTACCAACTTGTCTTCATGACAGAACATTGAGTAGGTATAAAATTGCAATGGTCTCTATGCCAGGTTTTGTTTTGTTGTTTTTTTGAATCTTCCCTGCTTCTAAGATAAAAGCTTAATTTGATATTTTTGTAGTTATATAACAGTAATATTTTGTGACATTTTGTATTGTGACACCATAGATGAAATTGTCATCGGACTGACACCCTTTACTGTTTATTACTTAATTAGAACTGTTAACAACACTGCAGAGAAGCGTGCTAATCTGCCATCACATATTATGAAAACAACGTTATTGTTACAAACACCAACACCCACTCAACAGGATAGTTCTAAGATGGCAGTTTCTGTTAAAAAAAAAAAAAGAGAGAGAAAACCTGATTTGTTTAATGGACACTTTAGCAGTGAAGAAAAAGAAGTTGATAGCAACTTCCAGCAATTATCTTTCAAAATGAAAATATTTTGTGCAATAGCAATTTAATGGGAATTTTGGGTTAACACATTTTAGAATTGAAATTCACATATTCAGAACAGTAACCGCCATAAATGTTGAGCCCTTGAAAATTCTGAAGGTAAGTTTGTCCCCCTTGAATCTTCAGGAGAAAAGTGGCAATAATCTACTTGCTCCCTCTGCTGGTCATATAACATGTCCAGATAATTTACTCTTATATCTTGCCCCCGTTGCTCTTCCGGGGAACTGTATCAATCTATTTGTTAAGATCTCTTGCTTACCTGCTCACGTGCTTCCCTTTGTCTTTCTCAGAAAAGGAGCTGGAGCCCACCTGACCAAAGTACAAGAGCCAAACCAAGCATATTGGTCAGAAACAAAGTCAACCACGCTTTGGTAAAGTATTACTAGACAAGCCCCTAGTAAACACTTACTTCATCTCGGAACTTAATACATCCTTGTACAATGTCATAGATGTTCAAAGATATCTGAACAGACATGTACCAATGTCCAAAAATAGGCTGTGTGACCACAGCTGACACTAGGGAATAACAATAATGGAACATGCCCAAGAGGATAATTCCAAAGGACAGCCTTGTTCACTGAATCCTGTTAGCATCTTGGATTATAATGCCAACTCAATCAGGAGCCAAATGCTTTCAATTTAAAACAGTGTTGCAGTTTGGCTATTAAAACCCAGATTTTAAATCTCAATTTAGCCATAGAGATAATTCAGTTACTTTGAGCTAATTACTTTTTCTCAGCTTCATCAGTTTCCCACAGCCATCGGGATAATAAAAGAACAAATGGAATAAAAACCAAATATAATAATCAAATTAAAATTATTCTATTCTTGGAAGGAACATGTAGCTTTTTCATGTATTTTTACTGTTAATTACGTATTTTCACACGCGCCCTTCAGATTTTATTAAAAAACTGGTCAAATATCTAGGAATTTAGAATTTAGTAAAGAGTCAGCTGGGCAACTTTGGGCCAGTCACAATTTCTCAGCCCAACTCACTTGTTGTGGGGAAAATGAGGAGGAGGAAGGAGTATTAGGTATGTCTGCTGCCTTATTTATACAAAATAATAAAGGCAGGATAAAAAATCTGATTAAGTCTTTCAATGTTCCCATACTCTGTGGGAGCAGAAATATATATGTCTGGATGCAGCAATGAATTTTCTCATAGCTTGGACTGAAATATCATCTGACAAGTTTGAATAACTGGATTATCAAAAGTTTATCATCCAAATTCATACACATTCATACATTAATATTGGTATCCTATTGCTCCATCCAAAAGGTCTGAAATCTTAAGACAAAATAATCGGTAGTATTTATTTTCTTGGAAATGGTTTTACTCCATTTCTCAAACTCCAGGTATCTGGCTCCAAATGTGATCAGTGATTATCACCACATGTAAGAAGCTTACATACTAATGGTAAAAGCATAGGAATGTACTGATTATGCGCCATCAGGTCATTGTTGACTCTTAGCAACCAGATTTTCTCTATGACAATGTCCCTAACCTGGTCTTTCAGGTCTTCCAACAGTGTACTCATGACCACTGTAACCGAGTCCATCCACTTGGCTGCTGGTCATCTTCTCTTTACTTCCTCCTTTCCCAGCATTAGAGCCTTCTCCAGAGAGCTAGATCTTTGTATAATGCGTCCAAAGTAGGATAATTTGAACCTGGTCATTTGTGCCTCGAGTGAGAACTCTGGGTTGATTTGTTTGATGATCCATTGGTTTATTTTCTTGGCTGTCCGCAGTATTCTCCGGAGTCTTCTCCAACACCAAAGTTTGAAAGCATCAATGTGCTGCTTAATTACACAGTTCTGTTATTGGTAGTATTTACTCTTGTACAGATTAAGCCTCTAGCCCTAAACAAAAATGAACCCTATCCTTCCCTTAAATTTTAGCTCTAAGGACCTCCACACTTCCCACCTACCAGTTATCATTTTCAAGATGTTCACCTGACAAGAAATGCATGTTCTTAATGCGGTTCACAGTGCAAAATGAATATACAGAAATTAACTTGTTAAGTATATTCCCTTGCTAACAGCTACAGAAATGTGTATAAAATGAAGGGCTTGTGTGAATAATTTCAAGATACATTTGCCATAAATAATTTGTTTTGTCAAAATATCTCCACAAAACAATGTGATCTGATATGAGACTCTGCTCTGCATGATTAATAATTGATTCCAAGCACAAAGTTGAGGTCAGTGCTGGATAATTCTAAAATCCTATGGTTAAATCAAATTATAAGCTAGATTCAACCTGAAGTATTCTAAGAGAGCACTGTAATCTTTAACTATAGAACTTGTATTTACAAACCAAATCTGACGGAGAATAACCTGCAGAATGTGCAAATTCAGTGGGTCCTGCTTGAGTCTTCATCACCTGATTTTCTACTGAGTCCTTAAGCATATGCCAGATATCAATATTCTATAAGTGTCATGCTCTCCCATTAAGCAAATCCTTTTATGGGACAGTAAGCCAGACTGATACTTTCTACCACTTCTCTACCACTTTTATTGGGAAAAGGGATCTCTCCATAGCAAAAGTGAAGGACAAGTAACAGATTACATTATTTCTCATCTTGACTAAGTAATTGAACAGCTGAGTTTTTCATCCTGCACTGTGTTGTTCATATTTGACATCAAAGTCACTTCCATGTAGGTAACAGGCCTTTGGGGAAGAACTCTTCAATGCAGATTTAGAATTGATAATCTTATCCAACAAATATTTAAAAGAACTATTTAATGATCCATCATTCTGAAGCTTGAATAAATTCCCCCCATGGACATGATTTCATTTTTGTTTCCAGTTTATCTTGGTGCTGATCTTATGTGCGGCTTTGTTGTTGATGTGATTTTTTTTTAACACCAATAGGAGCTTGTGTTCTGCCTAAAAAAAATGGCTCCCACTTAGGGAAGGATTCTTCTACTTTGGCCCAGTAAAGAGTCTAGAAAAAAAGATATAACACAACATGCAATTTAACTGCTTCACAATATTTTACCACAATTATTTACCAGCCCAACAGCAAAAGAATCTGAACATACGATGCATTATTAAAGCTTGCTTTATGTGTGAAGTAATTTAGAAAAGGCCAAACTACTTTGTTGCTAAATCTTAAATCCCTCAATTATACAGTATAATGGAGGTTGGAAGGATTTCAGTACCTAGAGTAAATATGCAATAATTGGATGAGCCCTCTTGTGGTGAATAATGTATTAGAAAGGTAATCCTTCAACTTCATAATTGTTTCTTTGAGACAGATAGTTATTTTTTTCTGAACCACAACATTATTCCTTTACATTTACAGTATTAAAAATCTTGTCCAAAACATTGATTTATTCAGAGGCTAAAAATGGTTTGACATTTACATAAGCACAGTCACGAATTCTACTGATTTAAAGAATGTTTATGTTCTTTAAATCCACAATGTCAAGGGAATGATACAAACTCGGAAATCTGTTCAAGGTTCCATGGAGTTTAGCTGGCTTTAAAAACTGTGATGTTCTGGGATCCACTGTTAAAATACAGATCTTGATACTAAAGGATTAGTCCCCCTATCCCCCAAGTTCAGACTTGCCCTAATATCCCCCAATTAATTTATTATTACTTTCTTGCCTAATTTCTTTCTTTTTTTATTCTCAGAGAGCAATAGAAGAATCTCAGTTATATACTTTAAAATTCAAAACCAGAGTGCTGGGGCTGGTGGAAGAGATCTTGCTCAAGTCAGATTTCTGTTTAAAATTATTAGTGGAAGTAGCCCAAACAAATATTCATTCGATGCCCAGCAAACAATGGTCTAATATCTTAACCTAATTAATTCCGTCCTTGAAGCCCTATCCAAACCATCAGTCTCATCCTTTCTCTCTCTCTAACTCCTTTTTTAAATTTGTGCTCCTGCATTCCCACTTCTAAACTGTCTCCACTTGTCAATCATTCTTATTCCATTTTCTTGCTGTCAGTCGTTGCTGCTCTCATATTTCTTATGCAAAAGCCATCCAATGTTTGCAGTTGTGGGAGTCCTGACTCATCCTCAGATATTGCCTTGACTTTTTGAAGTATTTAAAGCTGGGGAGGTGATGCCCCTCTTCTTTCCATAGCTCTGAATTTCAGAGGAAACATAGAGTTGATCCATCTCTTTTTATGCTTCTTTTGCAGCTGTTTAAGATTCTTCTGAAGCACAATATGATACAGATAAGCCCTAGCCCTCTTTCTAAACTTGGAAATATGGGAGACGGCAGAGAATTGTACCACTTGCATATTATGCTTTGGGTGAATTTTGAGCAGTTTCAAAGTGCAACAGTGCAATTGAGACGCCAATGCTGAAACAAATACAGGTAGTCCTCGCTTAATAACCATTCGTTTAGCAACCATTTGAAGTTACGACAGTACTGAAAAATTACCTACAACTGGTCCTCACACTTATGATCGTCACAGCACACCTATGGTCAAGTGATCGCAGTCTGGGAGCTTGGCAACCAGCTTGCACTTAAATGGTTGCAGTGTCCCAGGGTCACTTGATCACCATTTGCCACCTTTGCAGCCAGCTTCCGGCAAGCAAAATCAATAGGGAATTGTGTGATTCGCTTAACGACCATGTAATTCACTTGATGAGTGCAGTAATTCGCTTAATGATTGCCGCAAAAAAGGTAACAAAATCAGATCCGGTCATGTGATGCTTTGCTTAACCTGTAACAACTAATTTTCCAGTCCCTATTGTGGTTGTTAAGCAAGGACTACCTATAGTGTAGCCATTTTTCTATAGTACAAGTTTTCTTAATCTTGATGAAAAGGTCCCAATATATAAAACAAGAAAATGGAAAAACAGCTTGGAAACATTCGGTTCTCACAGTGAAATGAACATTACACTGAAACCTGAAATGATAGAATCTGATGTTAAACTGAAACTGAGTGACAGCCTTTATTCTGGTAAAAGGGGCCTTAAAGTGTACTGAAGACACAACAATCATTACATTTTCAAAGACTACTTTCATTTAACAGCAAGATGAAGAAAAGAGCTGAAATGTCAGTGTTAAAGACAATAAAAACCTGAGAAACTGCTTTAGGCTTACTTCAAGGTTAACAGTTTCAGGGTGTAGAAGCAAGTGCTCTCTGGATTGTAGCCTTTTTGCTGCTGCCTCTATATCCTGCAATATACAGAGAAACTTTTGAAAAGAAGGATGCTTCCAGAAATCACATTTGTAATTCATTTTCATTTTTAGCAAGTATGGAAATAGAAGTAATATTCTAGCTATACAAGTTGCAACTACTGTAATATAAAAGTGACACCAGCAAATATAGGCAAAAAGAGACAGATCTCTGTTCCAAGTTGCTTATAATCTAAAGAGAGAAAGAAAAGGAAAAAAAAATCTTTCGTTCAGCAGCATGGAACTTATTACATCAGTTCCAAAGGCTTCCAGTAAATTTCTAAGCCTTTAAACTCCTATGTGATTTAGGACCAGCATATTTATTAAATTTATTAATTTATGAAGCATACTTCTATGCCCCTGCAATCAATACAACTCTCAGCAGTTAACACAGAAAACAAGTTTGCTTCCTTCCAAATGAGCCTCTGCTGAAAATGGCAGGAGTAATCAAAAAGCATTTGTTAAGAGCTGCACCCCAGCTCTGTTGGACTTTGGCACTGCATAATGACAATGTGGGATGTGAATTTTGTAAATGATTTAAATTATAACTATACAATATTTTTCAATTTTCAGTATATGTTTACAGCATAAAATATTTACAATAATTTATTTATTGCATAATAATTTATTTATTAATATTTATTAATTTATTAATTATTTACTATTTATTTATTTTATTAGATCTAGAGGCCCCTCGATTGCAAATAAATCAGGGTGGCTTACATATTAAAAGTCACAAACAAAACAAATAAAGTCTGGAATAACACAATGCCCCCAAAATGGAATGACATAACACCCCCAAAACTGAGAGCGGCATAGCAACCACCCTTCCTTCGGGCCTGGAAGCAAAGCCAAGTTTTCAAAGACTGATGGAACACCGTCAGGGTGGGAGCCATACAGCTTCCCATACTCTGAGAGGATGCTGTTGCAGAGGACAGAGAAGGTGAGTCTCCTAGTTCCTGATAGAAGGCACTGTAATTGAAGGGACCAGAAGCACCTCTGCGCTGCCCAATTTTATAGTAGGGCAGAAACTAATGGAGGAAATTGGTGTCTCAAATAAACCAGCCCTACGCCATGAAGGGATTTGTAGGTGATAACCAGCAGCTTGAATTGCATTTGGAAGTCAAACTCAGTCCAGGCAACCCCAAAGATTATGTTCCGGAAACCTTAGTTAGACCTGCCCAGTCAACTTTATCTGTCAGCTAGTCAAATATTCTTCACAGTAGCCCTTTATATGTTCCTGAAGTTCCAGCAAGAAACAGGTCACCCTAAATAGGGCTCCTGGATGGCTGTCAAAAGATGTAATAAGGGCAGAGAAATAACATTTAGCTGCCCTTACTGCCACAATGTAATTCCAATCATATTCAATCAGAATTCCTCCAATGGTGCTCTAACAGTGTCTTCTGTCACTTCATCTCCCAGAGTTCTTCGGAGAATCAAGGTGTATCCAAGGATGAACACACAGGGAGAGGCTGTATGGGAGCAATGCGGTCCAAAGCCTCTAACACAAGCCCATTCTGGGCTGTGACTAAGGCCTCACCTAAACTATCTGCAAGGTCCTCAGGGAAAACCCTAAGCTCCCTCTGGAAACCAACAGCGGTCAGAAGTCACCTGCAGTGAGCAATCCAATAGACCCTATCTCCTCACAGGGAGGGTTGCACTAGTGAGCTGAAAGGCAATCAGAGAGATCTGTTCGCAGCAATAGACTGATGGCAATGTCCTCTAAAACCAGATCACATCACAACTGCACCAAGACAAAACCTAGATCTAAAGCGCAACATCTGGCATGTGTCAGGCCTTCAATGATTTGGGACAGGTTAATGGTTGCCATGGAGGCCATGAACTCCTGATCTCAACAGCATGAAGGTGGCAAATTAAAGTCGTCCAAGACTAACAGTCTCAGGGTCTCTATAGCCAGGCTGGCAATGAAATGCAGCTCAGGCAGGGATGAAGCTGTACAACAGGGATGGGGGTATACCAGCAGCAATCCCAATTGTTCCTTAAATAAATTAATAAATAAAATAAATAAAATAAGCTATGCCAGGGTCCCCAATCTTTTGGAAACAGTAGACCCATATGAAATACTGAGAGCACGTTACGGATGTTCTCACAAAACATCTATCTTGGCCATTATTCCCCACAAACCACTTGGATTTCCAAGGAAGCACACAAAAAACAAAGCAAAGGGCTGCAGTCCCCTTTCATTTTTACTTTCTAAGAACGCTGCTGAGATATATGCAGTACTTGAAGCATTCTTGGAAATAACTATTAGATTGAGACTGGGCTTTTTACTTATTTCTGGAAGTTACATGCCACTAACTCCATAAAGATGCACAACAGCTTACAATAAAATAAAAACATCCATGGAGTAACATAAATATATAAATAATTTACTAGCCTCCCACTAAAAAAAAAGGACCCATTTTTTTCAAAAAAAAAAATCAAAACTTGTTATGACTATCTAATCCCTGTTTCAAACTAAGTTTGCAGCCACCTTTGCAATGTCTAAACTAACTCATCTATGCTAGATGAAGAAGTGGCGATATTTGTTGTCCACTTCTTTTCATCTGGTATCCTGTACTTAAGCTTTTGTTTTCAATTTCTTTTGTTTTGAAGTGTTCTATAGGAAGATTAAGTAATGATGCCTTTGCAACTGAGGGAGCATATAAGCAAATAAACCGCCTCAGAAAGATGGAAGTATAAATGCTAAGAAATAAAGTATCTACAGAAAATAAATGAGAGCAAATTCAGCTATCATTATGTACATTTGGACTCACTACAGTTTAATGCAGCTTCAGAGGCACATCGTTATGTGTACAAGTGGCAATTTTTTTGCTCTAATCAACAGTGGATTTGCTCACACAACAAAGATTAAAAAAAAAACTTTTAAAAATAGGTTAAGAACTATTTTAAACTTGTACCACAGTTTTCATGAGTCTGTTACTGGTGGGAAATCAAAATTTAGCAGCGTAGTCAAACAGTGTTCTGGAGGTAGCAAAAAAGGACTTTGGAGATTTCATGTAGCTGTATCCAACCCTCAAATGTAATAATTACATGTTTTAGAGTTCAGACCTATTCTGCCAACAGGAGAACTAGAACACTTGGAAAATAGCACATAATCAGAAGGAAAAAAAATTAAAATATTTAATTAATAAATGGTAAGTTTATTGGGTTTGATGGCTATGCTGATCTAGTGAATAGGTGCTTAACCATGGGATGTCACCAGGAGAAAGTCACATTGATTCAAAAAAGGAAATTCCCAAAGGGACTTCTTATAAATTTCCAAACCATGGTAGTGCCAAAGAATACAGATCCTGATACAAGTTAAAAAAAAAAAAATAGAAAACTGGGATGCTTACAACAAATAGGTTAACTACTTGGAATCTGGTTAGAAGGAAAAGCTACTCTACTATAAAAAAATAGAGAGATATGAGCAAATTTACTGCAGGTGGGAATGAAAGAGCATGACCATCAAAGAAATTTTCAATGTGAAGAGGTGCGGGAGGTGGGGGCAGGAGTGGGAAGAATACAAACTAATGTTCCTCCTTCCCACATAGTCCAATTAGAGCAATGTCAGCCTCCTGGTATCTCTTAAAGGAGATGGTTTGCAATGATAGGCATTGTTAAGTTACTACATTACTATGTCAAGTGATGTAGTTAGGGGTCAAACTCTAGAAGCTAATTTCAAAGTCCCAAGTCACAAAGCTGCAATCTGTCCGCACCTATATGCTGACTAGAAGGCAGCTCTGCTTGGGGTGTGCTTAATATGATCTCTCATCTGCATTAAGAAAATACATTTTCTAGGGAACATTTATAACACTTCAACAAATACGCACCAGGAAAAGGTTGTGTTTATGCCATGAAATATAGAAAATGGCCCTTATTTGCATCAATGCAAAATTCATATGTAAGATGATTATATACTGAAATACAGAGGGGAATAAGAATAGCCATCATTATGGAAAACAAGTTCAATTACCAAAGAAATCTTAAAGGAATTAATATGGGAGAAATATCTCCTGGCAGAACTCTTCTAAAACCTCAAGGTTATTCTACAGAAGATTTCTCTTCTGCCGCATAGGACAAGGCTAGATCTAATAGCTAAAATACAGGAGTCTAGATTTCAGCTGAATATTAGGAGAAAGACCTTGATAGGAGGCCCTATCCAGCAATGGAACCAATTATCTTTAAAAAATGGAGGACTCTCCTTTGCTGGAGAAACTGGTCAACCTTCTACTGGGAATGATACAGCTTCAAGTATCTTGGCACAAGCAAGGGGGCTGTATTATGCAGCCAACAAAAGCCCCATCAACTCAATTATTCTACAATACCTGATAAATAGGTTGTCTTTACTTTCCAGGAAACACCTCAACCTGCCCAGTGTGAGTAGCCTTACTGACTGTATAAGGCAAAATCCTCACAAAGGACATGTTTAGGAATAAGATCAACCTGATCGAGGAATTTAAATGAGTTAATTGTACTCTGATAAACCCTCTTCAGGGTACAAGAACTGTTCCTTATTCTTACTGAGAGACTTTCTTCCGGAAATCTGAACGGCACGATTTGAATTTGGGGTAAGTTGCAGCGAAGCCGATTCACAATTTGGAGTGAAAGCATTTGCTGTGCATATTGATAAAGCCAATATTCTCTCTCAAAGAAAGCTACGAAAGTAACAAAGCTCCAAGAGAGGCAGCAGTCCCGAAGCTCTTCACTGCTCAAGACAAAGATGACTTGCTAATATGCATTCATAACATGTTCACAAAGATGAAGAAACGCAGCAAGCTGTTCACCAGACATTCAAACTCCAATGAAAACTCACCTCTATTAGCTTTTCTTAGGAAATCTGCACATGGGCTTCCACTTCCATGTGCTCTGTTCAAAGAGAACTAGACTTGTTTTAAGAAAAGGGGGAAGCAACTCCTTGAAGCTGTGACTACCCGCCTTTTTCTGTGGGCTTTCATACACAAACATCAGACTTCAAGCGCAGGCCTTTTGGGCAA